AGTTCAAAATACATCCTTACTTAAAAGTTAAACCTAAGGTTGCTTTATGTGTGGTTTCGAAGCATGTTTCTGTTCGGTAAGTGTAGGTTTATTTCTTGTTTTTTAATCGATTAAATACGTAAATGTATATGGGAACTGTGACTTGCATAGGGTAAAAAATGCATTGTAACGTACATAAAAAAAACTGAAGGAAAATATTAAGTCGAAATCAGGCACTCAAACGTAACCAATCATGTAATACTAGACAGGCTTAACAGCAAAACAGGCTCATAATTATAATTATAAGACAATAATTATACTTGTAGTATCTAAAGCTAACAGTTCAACTATAAAAGATTGCAAGGGTGTCATGTGGCATGTAAATGCAAGAATCATAAGAGGAACCAAGAAATATTGAGGGATAAAGTAGTTTTTTCACAAATATGGCTATTTTATATCTAGCCTATGTATGGGAAATGTGCTGTGTTGGTTGGTACAACTGAAGACGAGCGCCGTATTTACTAGACAGGCAATATGGACGCAGTATTTGAATTGCATATCTTTAACGGCAGGCGCTCTCTGCAGAAAACATCGTTTTATAATGCGGTGTATTATACCCTACTGAAATAGACAAAGATTTGTTGTACTAGCGTTTTAAAAATAAAATAAACTTTCTCCGGCGTATAAATAGTGCGTTCCGATCTTAATATATTTTAACGATTAAATAAACTATCTTGTATATTTAAACAATTGGTTTTTCTTTTCCGAGTTCGTTTGGCTCTTCTACCCGACCGATTTTCATGATTGAGGTCTCAAATTGAAGGTATGCATGCACAGATTTCACATCAAGCATCGGCATATATTTATCTACTGTATTACTCTACAAAAAATATAAATTTGATTTATTTTATAATTCTTACTTCAATTTAAGATGCATTTGACCAGTTATAATTATATAATCCTATACATTTTGGTCTAAGAACCAGAAATACCGGCTTTCATTTAAGCTATTAGGTATTCAAATCGGACGAGTTTCAAGCAAACGCAAGGTGAACAACCAACATAGAACACAGGACAAAAATAATTAAATATAGACTGTCAGCCGTGCTCTGGTTACCATGGTTACCATAGGTTTTGGCGCACACCGCTGGGAGCGCCGTGTAGTTACGTAGCGCGTACGCCGTAACTACATGGCGCTCCCAGCGGTGTGCGCCAGAACCAATGGTAACAACAGTTGAGGGTTTATATTTAATTCTTTTTGTCTGTGGTATTACTATCCTAAAATTACAGCTGTATAAAACCAACCAATATAAATATTTTTAGAGGGTTTTTGAATAAGTGCATTTTTATTTATCTTGCAAGAGTATTTTAAAGCACACTTAAGACTGAAATGAGGAAACAATGAAACATTCTTGGAACAATCAAGGACAGTTTAATACAAGAAGGACTTGCCTGAGGTTGGTTTTGGCGCTTGCCCTTCTCTTATATTTTTATGTTTAGTTTTTATTGCAGAAATGTTTTTCTGAAAAACTTTTGATTTGACAATTCCATTTTTATTTACTTTTGAATTATTTTCTGATAATTACCATAGACTTAGTAACTGGTCTGCTGCAGTAGGTGTAATATTTTTTGTACTATTTTTCATATACAGTACGATACAATTTTCAAATTTATTATTTTCATACCATTTTTTAACACTTTACAAATAAATACTTGTTTCCTTCCCGTTGCAGCAAAAATAAGTACTTACTAAACCTAATGTTGTTTTAAATTGTGAATTCATTTGTTTTTCTGAGGAAATACTTTAGTAAAAACCCAATGAGGTAAACGTAAATTAATTTGGTCTGCAGGTTTTCTGCAGCGGGGATATTTAATTAGTAGTACATTGACTTGGTCAATTTTGTATTAAAAATGGAACATAAATAAATGAACCATTCACAGATTGTGTTAAGTCTAAAATTGTATCTTCTCCCCTTGTTAATGGGATGACTGTCTGAAATAAAAGATTCTACAGTTCGTTCTTTCAGTTTGGTCTAAAGTATGCAGGCAAATCCAGGTAGAAAAGAGGAATTTAATCAGCACACTGTCGATAGCTTTATTCAACTGAGTTCATTTTGATTAATAACCACACAGCTGAAATATGGGTACGTTTAGCTCTATCTATAGTGTGGCAATGATGTCACACAATGCATACATAAGTCATGAATCAAACAGCATCATATCAGCTGTTGCTGGGATGACGTCACTGCTTATCTACATCAGCTGTTTATGGTTCCCGCCATAACTGTATATGGCGTTGATAACGACCGTCCGGGTCAAACTGCCTAGTATATTGTGCAGTTTCATGTACTTTTGGCACCAGTGGAAATCGAAAGTGCTTTTCTGTTTTTAGTGCTCTTATCAACATTGAACTGTTTCCATGAAGCTACATAGGGCATCTACGGATGAAGTTTACCAATTTTTATGGTAAAAAATGAGAAAATATTGACCTTGGAATATTTATTTGATACTCAAAATCGTTATTGATTATTATTGTATTAAAATAGGGTATTGACGCTCAAAAAGTATTGAACACTGATATCTCATGTTTTAGTACATAATAATACGTTAGACGTCTACTTTTTTGTGCTCATAAATTATAGTCTTATATCATAAAATATGATTGATAACTGGTGTTATCATATCAATAATATTTTATGATTTTAGACTAATTTACGGACAATTTAAACCAACAACGAGGTTTGAATAATTGTCCGATGATATGAAATTGGAATTGTAAATAGAAACAAAAACAAACTTATTTTGACTAGCTGTAGGGATCTATTCATTGCAGATAAGTATTTTTAATTTTTATCGTTGTTCTTTTAAATAGTTTTACATTTAAATTGATATAATCAGTAACCTTATGTGATCAACATATGTTTCTCTGTTAAGGCCCAATCAATATTCAATGATATATATAATCAAGCAGGCCCAATCAATCCCAATTCACTTTTATAATATACTGTACACAAACACAAAGAAGAAATAGAAACATATGTTGACAAGAACAAAACAACTACAAGAATTACAATGGAGATTGAAGAACAGAAGTGAAATGAGTAGTTTCAAACAACACTAACAAAACTTAATTAAATCAATTTATCAAAAATATTCTCCTTTGAACAGTTTTCAAGTTATAGAAATAATTATTACATTCATAATCATAACTATTTACATATTCAATCGTTTAAACCAATAAGTAGCTAAACTATATGTACTTTTTTTGTTACAAACATAACCTCAAATCCAAACTCCAAATATACCTTGCTATAATACAATGTACTGTCTTAAAAAATAAATAATCAATCCTGAAAGCATGAAATTTTGAACATGATACTTTCTCGTACATAGCGAAATTGTGAATAGTATTACTCTTTGGCAAACGACTCCAATCAAATCATAAAAGACTGAAGAAAACCATTTGACTCTTCAAATCTTCTTCTGTCGTAAAATTTAAGTGATCTATTGAATGAGTATTGTTGAAGGTGCGCAAATAGTTTTGAACGGATATTATAGGACGTTGTAGAGCAAATAAGGTTTAATACTTGGAGGCCGGCTTATAATTACAACAATAAAAGCCATTTAGCTGTGAAACAATTTCTTGCCCGGATGGTTTGGAGCCTACCTCTAAGTTCCACCTGTCTTGGAAAAAGTTAGTGCCCTAGTCGACAAAGATGTTCTTCATATTATATATATTTCCCAACATAACTAATATGATAATTTCAACTGTTAGACCAATATACAAGTATTAATAGCCAATATTAAATTCGTTATCACTTATGTTCCATCGATATTGAACCATGTCAGTTTTCAGACATTTATGACTGACTGTCAGAAATCCATAAAAATTAAAAATTAAAAATCCATTGGGTGTGTTGCGCTCTAGTGGTTGACGTCTCGGACTTCGGTGAGGGAGGAACGGGTTCAATTCCCGGTACATCCCCAACACATGGAAACCGCATTCCCTAAAACACGTTTAAGTACTTTCTCCTGTAACCCATGAAGTAAAATTATGGTGGCGTAGACATGAAAAAATCATGTGTTATAGGGGGCACTGTTAATTTAGAGGCTTAAACCTAGGACAAGCCTGGTTTCAATTACTTGTAATGTTCACTTAGTGTGATAATTTTGTAATCGGGTGTTTCAAAGCTCGTAAGCATTAGGTCAAAATTTCCAGAAAAAAATTGATCTCTGTGGTGAGAAGGTTTTTGTACTGAAAGACTTCCTCCACTTGTATTCGATAGCAATAATATTATTTATAGACTCACTGGTGAATAGTAGCAATGTGAATGGTATTGTATGTAGGTCAGGATGTAAGGTCTCGGGGGATCCTCCCTGAAAGACAAAGCAACTACTCGGGCCAATGTAACTAGGCAAACAGGACAAACTCCATTAAATCAGGACACTCAACGCAGCTACAGTTGGGGGTTTGGAATTGACCAGAAAGGATTTGAATGTAATCTCATTAGAATCGGATTTAGAAAGGAATGTTTATCTAGGACTTCTCATCTAACGTTTAACTAAGTACACATTTTAGTGTAGTATTAAACATTGAGTTATTCACCAGTGCAAAATGTATTTTATCATAGCCTTCTCTAATACAAGGCCGCGGTGAGAGAAAAGTGGCAACGCCGCACTCCCGTCCTACTCAAACAGCTGTTACACTAGTTCATAATGGAGCGTTTATTCATGTAGCGAAATAGACGCTTGATTTTGCTATTGCACTAGGTCGGTGCGACGTTGCCACACCAACGCCGCGGACTGTTAGAGGCTATAATTTCATGCTACATATTTTCTGTAAACTAATCATAACTTGTTTTTTGACGTTTATTTTACTTTGTTTAGGTTTACCTTCATGGGCAGAATAAACCATAGTCCAACATGGAGTACTAAGGAAATATTACATATATAGCAATGTTGACTAAATATGCTAAATGTGACGTTTCGGTGTTGTTACTCTTCCCGTACTCCTGTTCCAGGTGTTGCCGGGGCTGTACGTGGGCAACTATAGGGACTCCAAAGATGCACAACAATTGGACAGATTCAACATCACCCACATCGTCGCCATCCACGACGCCGCACGAAAACTGCACTCGGTAGGTAGTCAATAATCAGTAGTTGGTAGTCAAAAGTCAGCAGTCAATGGTCAGTAGTTAGTAGTCAATCGTCTGTAGTCAATCGTCTGTAGTCAATGGTCAATAGATAGTAGTCATATGAGTAGTCATTAGTCAATAGTCAGTAGTTGGTGGTCAGTAGTCAATGGTTGCCAGTAGTCGTCAGTCAATAGTCAGTAGTCGGTAATCAGTTAAAATAATAGTCAGTTAAAATAGTAGGTCAGGTAATAGTTAAACGTCAATATGGAATTGAGTAGTTAGTAGTCGGTAGTCAGTAGTCAATAGTCAGTGGTCGTCAGTCAATGGCCAGTTTTCGATATTTAGTTGTCAATAGTGTACCGCAAGCCTTGAACCAAGTGCTTGCATTTGATGGTGAAATGATTAATTGCATAATTTGCACTTTTTGTTCAAACACTTGATGATATTAGGGTAATATACAAGATGTTTTAGATAGCAGCAGTGTTGGTTCCCTATGTATCACTTTGCCCAATTATATGCCAATTTTGGAACAAACAGTACTTTACTATTCAATTTTGCCTTGTCTAGCCTTTTTAAATATTAAATATTATTTTCTTCTTCAGATATTCATAGGCTATACTACAATTGGTTAAATGGTGAGCAATCAACGATCTTCATAGTAATATACATGACATTTAATTAAATCAAATTCTTCCCTTCTAAGTACATTACTTCTTGTAACTAATTACTTCTAATATAAATGAGAACAGTCTTACTTTAGTCAGTAGACTTGCAAATATAGCACCGGAATGGTACCCCAGGGCTCGGATTCGAGTTGTCAAATTGGTAGCCACAGCACACTTGAAACTCGTTCTGGAAATATGTCCAGAAAATACTAGTAAAAGGTAATCATTATTTTAATATTAGAGCATTTTAAAATATATTCACACCTTTCACAGCATGTGATTTCCTGACCAAAACAATCATGAATAGTACTGTGACAATTGTTACTTTACATTTTAATTTAACAGTTTCTCAAGGTGAAGTTATATAAAATCATCACATAATTATTAATTCAAACATATTAACATTAATTAGCATAGCTTGAATAATATTTAATTAATTTTCAATATTTGTGAAACATGTGCTTTTTATACAATCTGTAACAGGAAATTGACTTTGTATTTACATTACAATATTACACTTTGTGATGACTTGCAAAAATATGAATTCATTATTTATGACCATATAAGAGTCTTGATACCTGAAATACAATACATTATACATTTGTTCAACTTAATATTATAATTAAATAATTTGTAACTTACATGACAACGAGTGTGTGTTTGCTATGGGGCCCAGACATGAACTAGAACTGAACTAATGACTTTACCATGAATCTCATCTTTGACCAAGGATGATAACAGCTGATTTGCAGGATAGCCAACAGGTTAGAGTGATTTGCTCTTCTTAACCAAACAACAAATTATATCATATACTGTATTTTATCCTAAGTGCTCATTTAATTTACTTTGTTTTAAAATGATGAAAATTAAAATATTTACATAGTAGTACAAAATATCCCCACGCTTCTCAATTTTCAGCTATTTTAAAACTAAACACTTTCACTTATGAACTATTATAACTTAAAATAATATTTCCTTCTCTTCATTTATCATTTGAATTCGTGCCTTTTTATCAACAATGCTAAGACAACGTACTGCACAGCTGATAACCCGCAATAGTACACATCTTTGCTGTCTGAGCGCAGCACTGACCAGGCGGCGGGTCATTGCATTATTACTGTAATACCAACCTCATGTTTTACATACAACTTATTTAATTGCATCCATTTCACCGATATGAGTTTCATAACTGATACATTTTGCCCTTCAAATTACTAAACGACCTCTATTTACAAGAAAATTCATTATTTTATAATATAAACCAAACCATGTCTGTGAGTTTAAAATCGTAATACATTTATTTAAATACAACATTTCTGTATTTCTCAAACAAGGAAACAAGTTGCGTTGGCAATACTGGTCGCGTGATTTCAGATATTATTTTATTCCTAGCTACACATTCTTCTTTTTCATTATGTATCTGTTTAACGTGTGCGTGTGTCGTGTTGTGTTTGTGTTAAATCGTGTGTTTTTAGTGTTTAAAATTCATTTATATACAATCGTTCAGTGTAGTGAAGTGTTATGTACAGCAATTAATGTCTCCTAATACTAATTCTCATTCTCTCTCTACATTTTTACACAAATATACAACTTTCGCATCCCATTCATCATCTAGCATACAACACATTAACTCAAGTCATGCATCCCTCTTGTGATTTAACCTTTTAATATCCGAAATCTTTCGCGTTGTAAACTCTAATCCAAATCGTTACGTTACACAATTATTGTATTACGACCTTAAATCATCCCTAAATAACATACATAAAATAATTAATTCCCTTCTCAATCTCTGAATCTCATCATGTTATCTCATGTTAACTTTTCCCTACATGACTTAACAAGTTAAAATTCCAAGTATTCCCAGTAATGTTTTGCATCTTAACCTTTTTCTTATTTACATTTTCTAGTAATGCGATTATAATACAAAGTACAATTCTTAGACTCGTTTCAATTAACCTGGTTCATATAATTTCAAATCTATTATATGTACCTTCCTAACATCAAGTGGGTCACTAGTTCGTTGTATCAAACATGTTACATCAGTTAACCAATGTATTATGCGAAAAATTCCTATGTATCTGGGGGCTAGTTTCTTACAAAACTTGTTAACTTTGCTACTTAAATAATGCGTTCTGACATATACTAAACAATTTAGCTTAAATGGATGTTTAGTTCTTGAAGCGGAGAATCTCTGACGGTTTCGGTTGAATTGGATACTTTTTCTTGCATTCATTATAGCTTTCTTCAGATTTTCTTTTCTTTCTTCTAAGGTTAATTCCGATGAAATTAGGCTCTTGATGTCCCATAGGTTAGTCAAGGCGCAGCTAGGCTCGTGGTTAAACATCAGTTTGAAGCTACTGGATTTTGTTGAAGAGTTTACAGCTGTGTTGAGACTAATCTGAATTAAATCCAGCTCTGTATCCCATTCAGTTTGTTTATCATGATAAAAACTTCTTAATACGGCTCCTAGGTCTCTAAAAATGCGTTCCGTTTTGTTTCCACTACTTTTATATGCAGGAGTACATCTTTGGCTGATAAAATGTTTAAATAAATATGACTTAAATTGGTTTGATACGAAATAACTAGCATTATCTGTAACAATTGTTTTTGGTATAGAAAAGTTGGCAAATGTCCATTTCAATTTTTCAATAATGGATTTTGAATTGCATTCCTTCAATGTATACAGGGTGATTGATATAAGTGTGCCAGCCGTTTTATTCGAAAACTATAAGAGATATCAAAAAAAGTTAAATGGTAAGTGCCTTGGATTTTTTATTGAAAAAATTATAGTCAAGTCAAAAAAATTATTTTAACCACCATTTTTCCAATATGGCCGCCAACTTTGATTTTTCTTATGGAACACCCTGTATTTTATGATGTATTCTGGTAGAAAAGGTAATTTTAAGACAATTTTATTCTTGTGATTTTTTTCATAAACCTAACCGTTTCAAAGATAATAATGGTTTAAGTTGTGAAATTTTGAATGGTTTTCGAGCAAAACAGCTGGCATGCTTGCTTCGAAACTCTTTCTCATGCAAAAATTTCAAAACTTTAACCATTATTATCTTTAAAACGGTTAGGTTTATGAAAAAAATTACAAGAATAAAATCGTCTTAAAATTACTTTTTCTACCAGAATACATCATAAAATACAGGGTATTCTGTAAGAAAAATCAAAGATGGCGGCCATATTGGAAAAATGCAGGCTAAAATATTTTTTTTGACTTGACTATAATTTTTTAAATAAAAAATCCAAGGCACTTACCATTTAACTTTTTTTGATATCTCTTATAGTTTTCGAATAAAACGGCTGGCACACTTATATCAATCACCCTGTATAGCCAAGTATATCTCGTGAATGCATCGTGTAATGCTAATATATATTTGTTCCCTTTTTTGGAACGTACTAGAGGTCCTAATACATCCATGTATATTGTATCCATAGCATTTTCAGCAGTAATTGAAATTAATTTTCCCTCATATTTTCTTTGTGTACTTTTTGACATCATGCAAATGTTACAAGCTTTTACTTTTTGTGCTATGAAGTTATTTAACTGAGGATGGTAAAAATATTCATTTATTCTGGCAGTAGTTCTTGCAATTCCAAAGTGAGCTCCAAAAATGGTGTTGTGGTAAAATGTAAATATTAGATTAAATAACTTTTCAGGCAAGTAGATCCGTGGTTTATCTTTGCTATTTTTGTACATTAAAATATTGTTCTTCATGAAATAACAGTTACTATGTTCTCCTTTTGTTGTACTAGCTTTTATCTTAGTACAGTCAGCGTCATTATTCTGTTGGTATTCCAATTGTGTGAATGCTAAGGGAATTTCATCTACTAAATTGCAAAAATGTTTATCTTCAATGGATGACTTCGGTGATCTGTTATCTCCTTCATTCATAGATTTTGTTCTAGTGTGATTTTGGGTTGCATTCTTCTTATCAGTTTTGCACTTATTTAATATCATATTTATTTCTTGATGTGACTCCGAAGTTATTTGATCATCTTCATTAGGAGTTTCCGCATATAATCTTGATAAACAATCCGCCAGTATATTTTCGGAACCATGACGAAATTCAACACTGTAATCTAGATTTATTAATCGCTCTACCCAACGAGCTAAACGTCCAATCTTGCGCTTTGTGTTTAGGACATAACTTAAAGCTTGATTGTCAGTAATCAGTTTAAATTTTCTCACTTCCAAATATTGGTGAAAATGTTCCATGGCATAGATAGCGCTTAAGGCTTCCTTCTCATAGATGGAATATTTTAATTCTGCATCTGTAAATTTTCGGGAAAAATATTCTATCGCTAATAAATCTTCTAAGTCATTGGCTTGTAAGAGTACAGCACCAGCACCTATGCTAGAAGCATCCGTTTGTAGTACAAATGGTTTGTTAAAATCTGCCAGTTGCAATAACGGTGGGTTACTTATGTGTTGCTTTAGTTTTTCAAATGCTTCCTGACATTCATTATCCCATTTAAATTTAACACCCTTTCTCTTAAGTCGATGCAATGGCGCGCATATATCTGAGTATCTCGGGATATATCGGCTCCAGTATCCGCACATACCTACGAATCTGCGTACCTGTTTTACTGTGTTCGGTACGGGAAAATCTTTAATGGCCACGGTGCGCTCGGGATCAATGCATATAGTGTTATCTTTTATGCGATGGCCAAGAAAATTTATCTCCCTGCAGAAAAATTTGGCTTTTTCTACATTTACGGTAAGGTTGTTTTGAGATAAGCGGTTTATTACTTCCTTTAAATGCTTTAGATGATCTTCTTTGTCCTTGCTATAAATTACAATGTCATCCAGGAATTTTATTAAATATACAAAGTTTATGTCGTGAAATAAACCATCAAGATAACTTGATAATACGCTGCTACCTACTTGAAGTCCAAAGCTGACTCGCTTATATTGGTATTTACCAAATGATGTGCAAAAAGCTGTTAAATGGCGGCTGTCCTTTGTTAAAGGGCATTGTAAAAATGCTTTGTTCAGGTCTATTACAGAAAAATATCGGGCTCCTTGTAGATGTTGGTATAGGTTATTTAGGTCACCTATAGGGTAATCCATTTTTACGAGTTTCTTATTTAGTTCTGTATAGTTTATAACTAATCGATCCTTTTTGGTGAGGAATGCGGGTGATGAATATGGACTAGTCGATACTTCAATGATATCTTGAGCTAATAAATCGTCAACTATGGTTTTCATTTTTTGTAAGTTTGGTGGACTTAAGTAGTAAGGTCTGGAACTTACTGGAATGTTATCTGTAACTTCAAGTTTCACCTCTAGATTTAATGCAGAACCAATTTTATCTGTGAATACATTTTGATACTTATTTATTAATTCGTTAACTTCCTGTCTCATGTCAGAACAACCAATTAACATTTCATTTAATGATTCATTTTCTTCATTTAATGAATTGTTAAGCTTTATTATTTTTCCAGGCTTATATTTGAAGTAGCAAACATTATTCTCTAAATCAATTATCAGTCCTTTGTTTGACATAAATGGCATGCCTAAAATCATGTCATAGTTGTCATGTTTCATGACTAAAAATTCCTCCCTCCAAGTAAATGAACCAATCTTGATTTTAAATTTACATTTACCCAACACGTTTATTTCGCTATTGTTAGCAGCGAACATGGTACCTTTCCAATTTGTTAATGACTTTACAACCTTTAATTTATTAAGTTGCTTATATAGGTCATGTGTTATGAAGTTTTGGCTGGCTCCAGTATCCAATAAAGTATTTACAATTAAATTTTTATGTACATTGACTTGAATACAAGGTAGCTTATTATTTACATATACTTTCACTCGGTTATGTTTTACGTTCCTGAATTTATTCCAATCCTTTATTATTTTTCTCAACTCAGTTTTATATTCAGGTGATTGATTTTCAGTATTAGATATCTTGGTGTCATCGGGAATACAAGTATT